AAGAAATGTGCTCATTATTATTTACAGCAGTATAGACTTGTTCTGTGTTTACAAAGTTCAGTTCAATGTTCAGTCTGCAGTCAATGCACAAATCTTTGTTTATAATAACGGTGGTGGTATTTATTTATTAACCTTTTTAAAAATAATTTATTATTTACACTTTTATGTTCAGTGTGTTTGTTTTAGAAATAAAGTGAATCACACTGATAAATTCTGAATGATTGCTCATGCCGGGCGAGGCGTGGTGATGGGGCACCACAAAACATTTGTGCTTAGGGCACCGAAATAGCAACGGCCTTGTCTACTGTCACTGAAAGAGCTGGATCGAAGTGGGAACAGGCTATGGACAAAGGAAAATGAGATTTCAAATTGAGCCTGAATTTTTGGGGGTAAATATAAGGATAAGTAGGTATGGTTGGTGTCCCTGGATAAAACTGATATAAGCAGACTGAACACTTGTTGGGTCTTGAAAATTCCCATGTTAAAGCTGAAGCAGATCTCACTAAACCTGAGGTTTAGGGACTTGTAATTAGGCCAAAAGGAATTTATATAAAAGTGTGATTTATTTTTTACTTTGTGGGTTTGGAGTAAACACTGGTCCAGACAAGTGGGTTACAGAGTTCCATTAATGTTTTGCATGAGATCGAGCGTTCCCTTTTATCAGAAGCTGGACAAACAGAAATTAATTAAGAAAAAGTACAAGGGCCCTCGTCAGCCCTCTCAGAATTTTCAAAGATTTTAATGAGTAAACAACATTATGACACAGATGAGAAATTACATAATATGGACACTTGAACATTGCAGGGTCCAGTTTGGTTCAGGTCATATCTGTACATAATGTTTTTAAATGGATTTTGAGCAATAAAAAACGGTAATTGAAAAAAACACTAAATACTTGTACTGCAATACTGTACATTCCAGGCAAAGCAATAACCTCTCCATGGAGACGAGCAGGAAGAGCGGGAGGAAGTGTGTGTGGAGAGAGAGGTCTGGGCCTCTTCATTCAGACTGTTGCCTCCTCTGCAATCCAGCCAAAGATAAAGCAGAAGAACATGAATGGAGACAAGCAGGTGCCTCCAGTTATGAGTTACACCTTGCATATTTAAGACGAGTTTGCTTATCTTATGTTCAAGGTCGTATATTACACAAAGTTGACTCTTGTGAGCTTGAAGACATGTTTGAATGTTGTTAAATCCTCAAAAACAGACGTGGACTTGTGTTTTGTTTCATTCATACATGTTTGAGTAATTCTGCATTATTAGTCTCAGTCTGTCTACATCTTCAAAGCTCAAAATACTCCTTGTGATGTCATGAAGCAGTAATTTGCAAGTTAACACTTAACCTTTTGTTGAGCAGAGATTGGTAATTGCAGGGCTGAGATCATTCTAATGATTCTAGTAAAGGTGTATGGAGTTTCAAAACACAGTGGAGCACTTCACGTATTACCACATGACATCACAAGGTGGAACAGAGGTGTTTTCTGCTTGAGAGACGAACTTAGAACATGCCTAAAAATGAATGTGAATGAAACAAAACACAACTGCAGGTCTGTTTGTGATGAGGAAACAACATTTTTACATCAGATCAGAAAATAGCACGATCTGGGTCCTTTAATATTCTAACAATGATCAAACTCCCTGTTGAATAGAGCTCATAAATAACGTTTGAAAGAAGACTGGATGTGTTCACTGTAACATCTGCACACAGGCTTCAAACTCATTCATCTCAGTCAAGTGTGAATTCATATCATTAGAAAGAATCTGGTCTGAAATATTAGGATTGTAGATAGTTTAGTCAATTAGTCGATTAATCGATTGTATCTTAAATGTCTTAAAAGTCTTGTACAGTATATTTTAGAGGGGAACCTTCAGGGCCTTCAAGGTATTCAGTGAAGGCCCAAGAAAAATATGGAACAAATTTCTGAAATATTAGTGTATTTTTTCAAAATTTTTATTCAGTGCATAATAAACGCTACATTAGTAATCATTTCTAGATCAGTGTTATAAACGTGGACTAATATTTCTTGAAAAACAAAGGGTTAATATAATGGAACAGCAACGGACCAATTAGTGACTCCCCCTGCAGGCGCTGAACTAAAGAAACACCTGCAGGGTCTTCAGCAGCTGGAACGAAGGCCCGTAAAATTCAAGTCAACGTGGGGATGATTTTGAGATTGACAGTTGTCTTAGTCAATCATATTTCATTAAGTTATGGGCGAAATCATATCACGACATCTTCTGGGCCTTCGAGAATACTCTGTGATGGCAAATATAAACGAGGCCACAGCATCATGGGATTAATTCTGACCTTTTTACACTTCATTACCTAGTTTACTGCGACTTTTTTGTACGTGAAACCATGTGCTGGGTCATTTTTACTTTGTTAGTTAATAGTTTTGAGAGCTTTGACAGCCCAACTCCTTGTATCTTTTAGTCGACCAAGAAGTTCATTACCATTTTTATACATTTTTTACTCTGTTATTGTAATATAATGTGAAGTGTGAGCTACTGTGTCCAAGTAATTTCCCTCTTGGATCAATAAAGTCTGTCTAAGTCTAAGTCTAATTTCTTAAGTCGACGACAGCGCAGTGAAATATATGGACATGCTAAATGACATTACATCAGAGTAAGTCAGTAAGTATGAGTGAGTATGAGTTGTTATGGAAAATTCATTCGACTCGGTAATTGCCTTTTCTCCAGAAGGATTTCAAAGCTCCAGGAAAAGTGTCATGTTTACGGAGAAGTTGAGCAGAACTGAGTTGAGTGAACGGGAAAGAGTCAACACTGTAAAAAACATAAGCCTATTGAGCTGGGGAGTACATTTAATCAACTTTTCTGAGTACTTTTCTAGCGGCATACTTTTATTTTTACTTGAGTAATATTTTATTGAAGTAACAGTACTCTAACTTGAGTAGAAGTTGTGATTCTTCCTCCCAATGTGAGTAAATCTACAAGTAACAAAAGCATTATGTTGATTTGAATGTGTATGTTTTTGTCACTCTCCTTCAAATATATTTAGTACTTGTCATATTTGTGAATTATTTATAGTGTTGTCCTCCAAATTACATTCATCCTAAACTATAAATTAAATATTATGTCCTGACAATTACTCATTTCCAGGGCTGTAACGATATCCAAGTCTCACGATACGATATGGTCACGGTATGAACCTCACGGTACGATATATATTGCGATATCGTGGGAAAGCTCACGATTAGAGATGTAACATTAGCCAAATCTCTTGGTACAATATTTTCACGATATTTATTGCAATATTTTGTGGAGCAAACAAAACAAAACTGTTAATATGCTACTTGTTCTTCTTAAAATGCCTTGACAAGACTTAATCCAAAAAAGTAAGACTTAAACATCCTTAGAACTGTAATTTCTTCTTGTAGTCTGCACTGAAATGGAGCAAAGGATCATGGTCTATGTAGTTCCCTCTGTCTTTTTTTAACTACTGCTGCACCATAACTCTTGAGACTTGTAATTCGATGTATTGTGATGGTCCACGATATTATTGTGAGAACTTTAACGATACAATATTGATTATTGTTACATCCCTACTCATTTCAGTTACTCTTACTCGATTAGTAGTGTTCCAAATACTATTTCCATTCTTACTTGAGTACAGTTTTTGACTACAGTATTTTTGGACTATATTATGAGGCGCAATATCATTAATGCTGAATTCCCTCATCTATTTTCATACATAAGGCGCATCGGATTATAAAGCGCACTGTGGGTTTTTCAGAAAATTAAAGGATTTTATAGACTTATAGTCTAAAAAATATGGTACTTGACCACCTCGGGTTATAACTAAACCATTCCAAACTGTGCAAAAGTAACATATTTACACAATTGATGGGCCATAGGTTTGCAGAGGTGACGAGGAGAAAATTCAGTTTGTCGACTGGACAAAAGTTAGTCAATCTTCAACCTATCTAACTTTTGTCCAGTCGACAAACTGAATTTTCTCCTTGCCATGGATTCTACCTGGACGACTGAGGGATTCTTCAACCTGACCTGTAACTTGGTCTGGTTTGGTCTCCATGAAGATAGAAAGGTTTAATATCACTGTGAAACATTCCAGTCAAAGCAAAGAAAAGCATTTTGACTGACCCTCCATCAGAAACATTACACAATGCACCTTTAATTTTAATGTAATCTGAAGGACAGAACATTAAATAATACAGAACATTTGATATTTTCTAAGGACTGACACAAAAATGAGACAAACTAAATCATATCTGGAGAAGAGATACAAGAAACACAAATGTGAAAATCATTTCATAAACCTTTGTCACTTGTAGACTTACTCGCAGTGAAGAGAAGAACGACAACTTTTACTCAAGTAAGAGTACTGTTACTTCCAAAAAACAGTGTATGATGTAAGTTGCTAGAAAAGTACCCGGAAAAAAGTTACACAAGTAAATGTAACTGAGTAAACGTGCTGTTTATCTCTGGTTATAACTATCGTCCAGTGAAGCTTGTTCTTTTATACCAGAGCACTGACTCTTTCTCTCACGCCTCCCGGAGACGCACGGCCCCCTGCGCGCCATTACGCACGGCGCTCCAAACTGTCCGCGAGCCTGTCAAAACAAACACGAAGACAGAGGGATGGATAGAGAAGCCTCGCACCTCCGCTTCTATCTGTGTCTGCGGAGCGCGCCGGGGAGTGGGCGTGTCCAACTTGGCACCAGCGCGCGTTTACTATAAGCGCTCCTCATTTGCCATTCGGATCCCGACAGGAGCTCCGTGTCGGTTTAACTATCCTCTTTCCACCTTGCGCGTAACGGGACTTCTCTTGAGCCACATGGGTTGACTTGGTTTTACGCGCGGAGCTCCACTACACCTTTCACTTCACTCCCGTCCCGCTACGGAACAACTTCTCACGGCATGATCGTATCCAACGTGAGCTGCTTCGCCAGGGTCACCACGGAGGAGCAGCGGGAGTATTTACCCAGCACCGTGACCCCTTTCTCCTCCTCCTCTTCTTCTTCATCCTCCTCCTCTCCCCCGCCGACTCTCACACCCACGGGACACTTGGTAGTAGCGGTGTGCCTGGGCGTCATTGGCACGCTGGGTTTCCTCACCAACTTCCTGGTGCTCACGCTGTTCTGCCGTTACCGGGCACTGCGCACGCCCATGAACCTGCTGCTCGTGAGCATCTCCGCCAGCGACCTGCTCGTGAGCGTGCTCGGGACCCCGTTCAGCTTCGCGGCCAGCACCCAGGGGCGATGGCTCATAGGGCGCGCAGGATGCGTGTGGTACGGCTTCATCAACGCGTGTCTGGGTGAGTAACGATGATCTACAGTGGACTTTCTCACGGGATAGCGGGTCTGTTACGGTGTTCCAATGTGCTGTGTGATTAAAAGCTAAGAAAACGATGTACAGGCATGCAAAACTGTATATGTTTGGTGCCAATACTGCGTTTTAAAGCGCCTATATTACGCAAAATTGACTCTTGTGCGCTTTAAGACACGTTAGGATGCTCTTACCTCAACAAAAACATACCAGGAGTTTTGTTTTGTTTCATTCACACGTTTGAGTAATCCTTTATTATTAGTGTCTACATCTACAGAGCTCAAAATGCCACCTTGTTCCACCTTGAGATGTCACGAAGAGGTTTTCTTTTACCTTTAGAGATTCAGTACACGATTCTGGTGAAGGTGTATCGAGTTTAAAAACACAGTGGAGCATTTCTATATTAGCACATGATGTTCCAAGGTGGAGTGATTTCCATTTGAGAGAAGAACTCAGCCTAAGTATGCTGATAAGTGAAAAAATGAAATAATTCTATTGTGCGTAAAGTTGACGGGGTACATCTGATTGGAGGAGTTGAGGAGTTGTTTGTCAGAAGTGAAATAGAAAATCATTTTTATTACTACAGGTAGTGTTGATCTGAGGGCATCTTCATGTCTGTGTGATTCATGGAGGTGGATCATAGTCTTAGTCTGGTGCCTTCCGGGTTCAGGCTTGTTTTGAGCTTGCTATAAAGTCCTGTATTATGAGAATTTGAGTTTCAGGGTTTTGTTCAGATTTTCTAACTGTTACTGTTTAGGGTTGAGTAGCTAAAAACTGTACTCAAGTAAAAGTAATGTTAATTCAAAATAATAGTAGTGCTGAAGTAGTGGTGCAAGAAATTACTTAAGTAAGAGTAAAAACTTATTTAAAAATAATATTACTCAAGTAGAGGTAGTGGTCCGAGAGTAGAAAAGTATTAAGAAAACTACTACTCAAGTAAGAGTAATGTTACTTCAAAATAATATTACTCAAGTACATGTAAGTTGAATGTGTGTGAGTGTTTGTGATGGTCGAAATGGATGATGATGCAGATTGGCAGCCTCACTTCCGTCAGTCTGCCCCAGATCAGCTGTGGCTACTACAGTATCTTACCATCACATCGCTTGTGTGTGTGTGCGTGTGCGTGGGTGCGTGTGTGGGCGTGGGTGTGCGTGGGTGCGCGTGTGTGTGTGCGTGTGTGTGCGTGGGTGCGTGTGTGTGCGTGGGTGTGCGTGGGTGCGTGTGTGTGTGTGTGTGGGTGTGCGTGGGTGCGTGTGTGTGGGTGTGCGTGGGTGCGCGTGTGTGTGTGCGTGTGTGTGCGTGGGTGCGTGTGTGTGCGTGGGTGCGCGTGTGTGTGTGCGTGTGTGTGCGTGGGTGCGTGTGTGTGCGTGGGTGTGCGTGGGTGCGTGTGTGTGTGTGTGTGGGTGTGCGTGGGTGCGTGTGTGTGGGTGTGCGTGGGTGCGTGTGTATGTGCGTGGGTGCGTGTGTGTGGGTGTGCGTGGGTGCGTGTGTGTGGGTGCGTGTGTGTGTGTGTGTGTGGAGTGAACGAACAATGAACTGTAAAGTGCTTTGGGCGTCTTGAAATGAACAAGTAGGGTCCAAGGAATTTATTTCTCAACAAAGAGTAAAAAGAATTTGCAAAAACTACTGCTCATGTAAGAATAACATTACTTCATAATAACATTACTAAGGTAGAAGTACAAAGTAGTGGTCCGAGAAATGGTTCAAATAGGCATAAGAGTAAAAAAGTATTTGGGAAAAGTTCTACTCAAGTAAGAGCACTTGAAGAGAAACAGTCAGGATTTCAAATTTATAATTTGAAGTTAATGTAATTTGAAGAACAGAACATTCAATAATGCACAAAAAGACAGACACAAAAATTTTAAAAATTAAATTTATCTGAAGTAAGAAACTGGAAAAACCCCAAATGTTCAAATCATTTCAGATTGTCAACATAAATCTTTTGTTACTTGTAGACTTCCTCACAGTGGGAAGAGGAAGCACAACTTTTGCCCAAGTAAGAGTACTGTTACTTTAATTAAAAGAGTACTCAAGTAGGAGTTAAGGTATGCTGCTAGAAAACAACTCAACAATTGATTGAAAAAGCTACTCAAGTAAATGTATCTGAGTACAGTAACCGAGTACTACCCACCTTTAAAGGGTCTGTATAATGTAGTTTCCTCATCACAAGGAGTCCTGGAGTTGTGTTTTGTTTCTTTCACACTTTTGTTTTAACACACAAATCCTGCATGTTTAGAGTTCTTTCTCTCCAAACTGAAAACACTCATTTCCACCTTGTGAGGTCATGTGGTAATACAGGAAGTGCTTCACTCTGTTTTTAAACTCCATACACCTTCACTAGAATCATTTGGATGATTTCAGCTCTGGAACTGAACAAAATGTAAAAAGTAACTAGCTGGTAACTTGAAAACTACTGCTTCATGACATCATAAGGTGGAACATGAGATTTGGAGATGTGTGAATGAAACAGAACACAACTCCATGTCTGTTTTTGAGAAAGAAACAACATTCTAACATGGCTTAAAGCTCACAAAAATCCATTTTGTGTACCAGTAATATAGGACCTTTAAGACTTAGTTACGTTTGATTGACTTAATCCTGGTTTGAGAACTGGACAGAGGAGCTCAACAGCTGCAAATTTTCACAGTCTAAGCCCTCATATCTCCTCATGGCTTTCTCTGGAAAATCACAGCATTAAGGGCTGTGATAATGTTGTACAGTTTTAGTTATAATGAGTGAAATTCATTAAACTCGATGACATTTTATTGTAAAGACAAGCTTAATTGAATTATCTGTAATAAGTTTTAATTTATATTGAAGAAAGTTTGAGAGAACTGTGTAAAATGGCATGTTGTTAAATATTAGACTATGTTTTCCAGCTATTCGTGACATTTTTATGGTTCCAAATTATATCAGTAATGGCAAAATTTTCTACAAATGGATTCATTAAAGACAGGGTATTATGCAAATTTGACTCTTTGGAGCTTTCTACCATGTTGTAATGTTCAATCATCAAAAACATGCCAGAAGAGGTTTTAGATGTCATCCATGCATGTTTGAGTTATTTAGTGATCTCTCTTGAACCCTTATTATAGTTCGCTGTAAGATTCTGTCCTCCCTCAAGCTTACGTCACCCACCCACATGACAATTTTCTATAAATATACAAAAAAATTATACAAAACTGTGCATAACAATTTGACAAACCTGATGCGATGTGCAGTAGTTTCATTAGTAGGATGCATGCTGATTATGTTATATGATATGATGATAGCATTTTGAGGAGGGAGTGACTCAGAGCGTCAAAAGTGAAAGTGAAAATTGATCTAAATATGTTAAGTGTCACCAATTAATACCCCATAGAAGTGTTACAGCTCCTCTTTAAAGGTCCTACATTAACAGAAAATTGACTCTTTATGCCATGTTATAATGTTGTTAAATCCTCAAAAACAGACCTGCAGTTGTGTTTTGTTTCATTCACATATGTTTGAGTAATCCTTTATTATTAGTCTGTCTACAGTTTGAGAGAAGAACTCAGCCTAAATATGCATGGTCTGTGTGTTAAACATGTGTGAAAGAAACAAAACACAACTCCAGGTCTGTTTATAATGAGGAAATGACATTATAACATCGATCAGAAAATAATGTAATACAGACCCTTAAAGGGACAGTCCAGAAGTTTGGACATAGGACCTCATTTCCTACTTAGCCAGAGTGTTGGAGACGTGCAGAGACACTTTTTTAAATATTCCATCCAGTCCTTGTATTTGCAGAGGTCACTGGTGCTAGGCTAGTGCATGTCAATGGCCATAGTTAGCCTGCCGCTAAAAACAGTTTTACCCACACCACAAAACACCTGAAGCAAATCTGTTATTACACCAGACTGTCCATGTGAATGTCTGTGTTGGCAGAATAAAGTTTGAAATAAAACTAACCTTGCATCTCATGAATCATCGCTGAATCACTGTTGAGGGACTATTTTCTCATATATCAGTCCACCGTTGCTGAGCTTTCTATCAGGAAGTACAACTCCCTGCTGCTGCTCAGACATAAATCTTTCACATGCAAGGTTGGTTTTACTTCTAATATTATTCTATCAACACAGACATTCACGTCGACAGTCTGGTGTAATAATAAATTTGTGGAGTGGGCAGGAGTTTTTAGTGGCAGGCTAACTATGGCCATTGACATGCACTAGCCTAGCACCAGCGACCTCTGCAAATACAAGGACTGGATGGAATATTTCATAAAGTGTCTCCACACGTCTCCAACGCTCTGGCTCACTAGGAAATGAGGTCCTATGTCCAAAATTCCAGACTGTCCCTTAAAAGGATTGAGGGGTAGGGATTTTAGTTTTTAGTTTTTTAGTTTTTGTTTCAAACCTAGATGGATTTAAGAATGTGAAATAACTCATTAGCGTAGGACTAATTAATGCTTCAAAAGAACATTTTGTCTTTAAACAACTGAGTTTACAGAGTTATGAAATGAAAAGAGTTTACAGAGTTATGAAATGAAAAGAGAGGTGATTACAGTGTTGACCTAGTACATGCTGAGGCCAGTGTGAGCCCTGTGTGTTCTGCCGTCTTGTCAAGTGTCATCAGGGCTGAAAACATGAGAGTTACAATAGTCCTACTCCACTTATGGACACAGATTATGCATATTTAAAGCTGACCTATTGTGCAAAATAGACTTTTCAGAGCTTTTAACCGTGTTATAGTTGTTTCCACTCACCATTTACTCACCGGAAGTTATATTTGGAGTGATGTTGGAGCAATCTGTTTTTACGTCTTTTCAAGATGGTACACGGACATGGCTCTGAATTAATTCGTTTTCCAGTTGTATTTTCTTCATCTTCATCAAAATTCGGCAGTATTGTGTAATCATTTTGGAGCAAATGAAAAGTCCAGCTATCCATCGGAGGTGCTAACAACTTCATGACTCTTTGTTGTGATGATGTCTCCATTGGGCACTGCAGTTTTCTAACGCAGAAG